CAAATTGCAATGACGTACACATAAGGGTCAAAAAACTATCTTCACTGAAGTTTGATTAAAATTGCCCATTTTTATTTCTTTTTATGAAAAAAAAAATACCTACGGGTAGTTTCTAACTGAAATCTTTCCAGGCAAAAACAAAAACAAACCGATGATCTACTTGTGCTGAGCAAAGACTTCCTTGGTGGTGCAGAACGTCCATGACTTTTCTTTCCGTCAGAGGCTGTCCTTGTTTTTAACCAACTTTTTTCATATACGAGACGCGGGCGCGGTCGCAAAACTGCATCGCGAAACTACTGCTGCGCAGAGTCTAGTTTGACAGAGTTGAGTGAGTAGGCAGGAGCAGCCCGTGGCGGGGCGGGACTGGGTGGAGAGGGGCGGAGCGGGCCAAGCAGTCTCGTTGCGCTCGCCGGGTGGAAAAAGAAGCGGGCAAGAGGAAAGGGTAGAGAGTTCCGAGAAGGGAGAAAGCGAGAGAGGAAGAGGAAGAGAGAAAGGGGAGGTGGGGCCGAGCGGGAGAGGGGGTGAAGGAGAGAGAGTGGAGAGAGAGAGAGAGAGAGAGAGAGAGCGACTACCATTGGACGAAGAAATCTGCATCTGAGTTCGCCGTGCGGCCGGCCTGGCCCGACCCCGTGCAGCCCCAGCCCGGCCCGGGGTCCAAGAGTTGCCATAGCGACCACCATCAGCGGGGAAGCCTCGCATGAAAGGAGGAAAGTTTAGCGAAGTTTGTTTTCGTGTCATTTTCTATAGTTTTAACCACCCTTGCCGCGCACAGCGCCTGAGAGGTTTTGTCCCCCAAAAAGACCTCGCTGAAAATCTCGCGGTGCAGCATCAGGGCCGAAACTTTGGTCAAGAGTGCGACGGTCGCCGAGCACTGCGATGGAACGGGCGGAGAACGTTTGGGGGGCCCAGTCGCTTTCACAAAATAAACGTAAGCAAAATCAAAGTGAAAATAAGACATTAAAATAAAAATCGTGTCGCATTACCTTTGCCCAAAGGACGTTAATACTCCCCATGCGTGGCACGACCGCACCCTCTCCGCAGAGGCACAACATAGTTACGCCTCGAGCGACACGCGTGTGGGCATGGCGCTCGAAAAAGAAACAAAATTAAAGGGGGCGGGGAATAATTAAATACTAATGCAGTGTAGACCAACGAGCGAATAATCAGGGTCCATAAAGCGCCTGGCCGCGGCCGAATGTCTGAGAGGGTCCTATACGGGCTCCTGCGGGTCCTGCGGCTGGAAAAAGGACCTTGTCGGGACTTAATTAACCAAACATGTGTGCTACAAAGAGAGAGGTGTACGTGGCGCGCTCTCGCCTTGGGACCCATTATCCTCTCTCTCTCTCTCTCGTTTTTCCGTGAGGTTAAAAGCAAAGGGAAGGGGTTGTAGCATTACCTCCAGGAGCTCAACAGAAAGCAGGCCCCGGTGACAAACGTAAAAACCAAGGCCGAAATAAACGCGACGGAGCAACATGGCGCGCTGCAGCAGGAAAGGACCTCCTCCACAGTATTGTTATCTCTATTCAAAGTCTGCGTCCTTAGTAACATTGGCCTCACCCCCGCAGTATTGGCTCCAAATGAAGTGTCTCATCCAAACTGAAAGTAACAGAAAGGGAGAAAGCAAAGAAAACCTTAGGTATGAAGCCTGCTGGTAAATTCTGTTCATTTATTCCCCGCTGGAATTCGGTGCACCACACTAGCGATCGGCTCAGTGCGCAAAACCACTCCTCGCATCTAGCAACTTTTCCCTCCCCAATTTTTTTTTTCGCGTTTCCGTCCGTTTCTCCTTCGGCCTCGCCCTTAACCCCTCCTCCCGTTAATTAAAGTGGTCTATGCGAATTTTCTTCAGATTTCAAAAAGCGGCAGCAGCCCCCTTCATTACCGCCCTAGTATAGTGCGCATGCGGAAAGTTTACCCCTAGTCTCTCGCTCTCTCTCGCTCTCTCTTTTACACACACACACATACACGTCTCATGCTGTGCAACAATATCTGTACTAAAGGAACCGCCGCAGCAACAGCAGCGGCAGTAGCGGACCCCCACCAACAAAAATACGAGCAAACCAACAAAACGCATGCATGAACTTTCCAAACTGCAGCGCAGCCGACGTCGACGCCACAAACCATATAGAAGCTTCTTCAACTGTATACAGAGCGCTCCAGACGGGCTCCAGGCCCGCTCCAGGCGCACGAGTCGACGGACCGCTTCCGCAAAAACAAAAGCAGCACCACCGGGGCTATTATTGACTTCGAAATAAGTTGTTGGACGAGCAACGGCGGGCAGCACGAGAAGGCGTGCATGTGTGTGTGTGTGTGTGTGTGTGTGTGTGTGTGTGTGTGTGTGAAGACTACTGTACGAGTCCGCTTCTTTGCTCCGAGTGCGGGGAAAAACTCAATATAAAAGTATCGAGCATTGCGCCCGTCGTGTGCATTCCACTTTATCATAGACCAATAAGTAAACCCAGTCGCCGAAAACAAAGCGAACACTGTAAAGGGGTTGGCGTCTTATGTCGCCAAAATATTGGCGTTCAACTGAAGAGGGCGCTTTTGCACGCCAAAATTTTGGCGTTCTGAAAAGAACGCCAACCAGTTTACAGTGAATTAGTATGTGCAGGAATGATCAGATCCTGAAGCAGCAAATAAGTCTGTGTAGAGAAGACATTCGTACGGACATTTGCATATCCGAACAAGAACTTGAGTCTTCAGCGCCCCCTTCACCCTGCTCCTGCACTCCTCGTCCTCCGGCTCCCGACCCGCCCTGCGGCCTGCCCGCCCTGCGGCCTGCCCGCCCAGCCGATTCCGCTGCAAATCACAGACTTCCCTGGCAGGCCTGTGTGTTGCGAATGGGGGAAACACTCCAGTTCATGTTTTCGCCATTAGGATTCGTCACGGGAAATAATCTTCCTGTCTTTTTGCCCTCCGACTCTATCCCTCTCTTTCTCCCGACAATGCCGAGGCGGCGTCGGCGTCGTTGGCGACGCGTCTCCAATGGCGTCGAAGGGCTGGGGCGGGGCGGGGTG